AAGTTTCGCAGCAAAAGCCAGTAGTCGTAGGTGGTCAGTCAGGCAATCACCGTAAAAGTTTCACACCAGAACTGGTGCAAAGTTTCGCAGTAAAAGCCAGTAGTCGTAGGTGGTCAGTCAGGCAATCACCGTAAAAGTTTCACACCAGAACTGGTGCAAAGTTTCGCAGCAAAAGCCAGTAGTCGTATGTGGTCAGTCAGGCAATCACTGTAAAAGTTTCACACCAGAACTGGTGCAAAGTTTCGCAGCAAAAGCCAGTAGTCGTACGCGGTCAGTCAGGCAATCACCGTAAAAGTTTCACACCAGAACTGGTGCAAAGTTTCGCAGCAAAAGCCAGTAGTCGCACGCAGTCAGTCAGGCAATCACCGTAAACGTTTCACACCAGAACTGGTGCAAAGTTTCGCAGCAAAAGCCAGTAGTCGTACGCAGTCAGTCAGGCAATCACCGTAAAAGTTTCACACCAGAACTGGTGCAAAGTTTCGCAGCAAAAGCCAGTAGTCGTAGGTGTTCAGTCAGGCAATCACCGTAAAAGTTTCACACCAGATTGTTGCAAAGTTTCGCAGCAAAAGCCAGTAGTCGTAGGTGGTCAGTCAGGCAATCACCGTAAAAGTTTCACACCAGAACGGGTGCAAAGTTTCGCAGCAAAAGCCAGTAGTCGTAGGTGTTCAGTCAGGCAATCACCGTAAAAGTTTCACACCAGAACTGGTGCAAAGTTTCGCAGCAAAAGCCAGTAGTCGTAGGTGTTCAGTCAGGCAATCACCGTAAGAGTTTCACACCAGAACGGGTGCAAAGTTTCGCAGCAAAAGCCAGTAGTCGTAGGTGGTCAGTCAGGCAATCACCGTAAAAGTTTCACACCAGAACTGGTGCAAAGTTTCGCAGCAAAAGCCAGTAGTCGTAGGTGGTCAGTCAGGCAATCACCGTAAAAGTTTCACACCAGAACTGGTGCAAAGTTTCGCAGTAAAAGCCAGTAGTCGTAGGTGGTCAGTCAGGCAATCACCGTAAAAGTTTCACACCAGAACTGGTGCAAAGTTTCGCAGCAAAAGCCAGTAGTCGTATGTGGTCAGTCAGGCAATCACTGTAAAAGTTTCACACCAGAACTGGTGCAAAGTTTCGCAGCAAAAGCCAGTAGTCGTACGCGGTCAGTCAGGCAATCACCGTAAAAGTTTCACACCAGAACTGGTGCAAAGTTTCGCAGCAAAAGCCAGTAGTCGCACGCAGTCAGTCAGGCAATCACCGTAAACGTTTCACACCAGAACTGGTGCAAAGTTTCGCAGCAAAAGCCAGTAGTCGTACGCAGTCAGTCAGGCAATCACCGTAAAAGTTTCACACCAGAACTGGTGCAAAGTTTCGCAGCAAAAGCCAGTAGTCTTAGGTGGTCAGTCAGGCAATCACCGTAAAAGTTTCACACCAGAACTGGTGCAAAGTTTCGCAGCAAAAGCCAGTAGTCTTAGGCGGTCAGTCAGGCAATCACCGTAAAAGTTTCACACCAGAACTGGTGCAAAGTTTCGCAGCAAAAGCCTGTAGTCGTACGCAGTCAGTCAGGCAATCACCGTAAAAGTTTCACACCAGAACTGGTGCAAAGTTTCGCAGCAAAAGCCAGTAGTCGTACGTGGCCAGTCAGGCAATCACCGTAAAAGTTTCACACCAGAACTGGTGCAAAGTTTCGCAGCAAAAGCCAATAGTCGTATGTAAGTCAGGAATGTTTTGTTTTGCAGTCAGACAATCACCTATAAAGGCATATAACCTTATGTCGTGCATGCGATGGTCGTGTGACATCTATAAGTTATAGAATCGAAGCGCAGTTGAAACAAATGTAAGTAAGATCACACCAAGGAAGGCAAGCTTATTTTGCTTTGGGTACAGAGAGACCCACCAAAGTAAAATAAATGCAGCAATACCTTTATCAGTTTGCTTGAAGCGACCGTCATAGTAAATTTGCGAACAGCAACAGTACGTCAGTTTTAATACAGCTACAGAAAAATTCTTGTAGCTTTTGGCAGTAAGATAAGCTTAGGTGAAACCTTCTTCGGTACGTTTAAAAATCGAGTTGACGACGGCAAACGTGACGTAACTGCGTACTACTGCGTATCTCGCGCTTCGCGCTCGCGCCTCTAAACAACCCTAAGCACCTTAATGACGCCTTTTGCGCAGGCTACGGTTGAGTTGTGAGGGCGATTATTTTGTAGAAAGCAATAATTTCATGATAACCAGAAGAAAATAAAAACTCCAAAGAAAAATATCCTGTTCTTCACGACAAATGGTTGCAAAAAGAACAACCTAGTTGTCTATTAATTTGTTTATTCAATAGTCCAGCTTAAACCCTGCTTGCAGCAATTTTAGGAAAATAAGTAAATACTGTTCACATTTGTAATTTTCTTTCATTTTTGGCAAGAAAATTGTAAACTATTTTTTATTCTTTTTTTTTTTTCTACATTGGCCAAAGAGCCTCTCAAACGTAACCATGGCCGGTAACGCCCGCTGTCAAAATTGAGGTCCTACAGCCGGGAAACATCACCAAAAATATGTAATCTGAGTCACTGTGTTCGAAGATATGAATAAATTTGCTAACAGAGCTCTTACAATTTATACGATAAAAAGCTTTAAGAGCAAGAAATGCGTCAGCGTCAAAACAGATACTGGTATGAAAGTCAAAGAATGATAGCCGTTCGGGATTTACCCCGCTATACTACAATTTACTACACAGACGTTAGCATTGAAATGCAACGGCACACTTGGATGTTGCCTTTTTTAAAAACAACAGTTACTATAACGGACGCGAAATACATCAATATACGGTAGTACAAATGTAAAATCTTCCTACCTTTTCTGATCCTAACAGATACCTGTGCAGTTGCTAAACGCCTTCCAAATGACCATAGATCGAGGAGGTTTCCCGTCCCGGTGAGCACATAACAAAAGAGAAATTGGTTCCAACGGAAATATTCCTGAGCGCGCAAACCTGGACAACATTGCAAACGAGCATACCGAATGAAATCAGTTCTGAGTTCACTCCGCTAAGAGGCCAGAGTGTATTATTTATTGGAGAGAGTTTTTGTATTCAATCGTCTCAATATTTGATGGCATTTATGTGCCTTAGCGAATGTTCTTAATGCGATACACATGCACGGCAACCTGACAAAGAAACACAACCATTTTGCTTACCTTTTGGCCGCGTTAACACCAGGTTTAAAGTAGAACGTAGGCCAGTAGCTGATATGTAGACAGGCATATTAAAACACGAACACACAAAAGTGTTTTCTATAAAGGATCGACAGCGAAACGACTACAAACAAAGCGGTGAGCGGTGCTTGACTCAACTGTGTCATTTTCTCACTACGTGTATCTTTTACAAGGTATTCACAGCAGGACGTTTTGCTTACACACCCAAACAAATTTCCGTTTTCACAGGCAAAAGGTGTCATTTCCACAGCTCGCGTGGGGTGATTTCCACGCGCACTTACTTGCTTCGCCCGCTCTAATATCCATATAAAAAATTACAGTGCGATTGCCAGGAGAAAAAATATACCTTTTTATCCAGCCAGAACCGGCATAAATTTTTCATATTTTCAGCTAGCAAGGCGCTCATTCAGATTTCCCAGCCAGCTAACTAGCCAATGTTTTTTTTTTTCCAGCTAGCTCAAATTCTACCTGACGAGCGGGTATTTTGTCGAGCGGCTCCGTCGGGTACTCCTGTTCTTTAGCAAAAACGGCAACCGAAACCGTGTTATCCCTCAGCCATTTTCTTAGATCATGTGCGATCGACACTGGGCTAACAACTTCTTCTTCTCCCTCGTTTTTACCAGTCTCGCCTACGTCTGAAACAGTAAACAGTATAACAATGAGTCAATTGATCAAATTTGGGCAGAGCATTTAATCTGTTGTAATGTCTCAGATTTCTACACAGTTTAATTCAGACTTAAATCTCATGTTAGTAATTTTTGACAAAGAGTATAAGCGAATAACTTAGCTGGACATACCCTCACAAGTTTTCCCACCGCATTGTTCGAGAAACGTTTTCAGATTTTCTTCTTCGCTGCGCGGTATTTCAACTGTAATCTAGAAAATGAAGATGTTATTCTTCAAAATCTCGAAGCCTGTATCTTGAATTTCAGCTGTGAATTTGCATAATTCAAAATAAAGTTGGAAAAAAACTTCTCACCTTCAGATAATCAGACATTTTCAGACCAAAATAAGGAAATCAGCGAATAAAAGTAGAGGAATTGACCTAAACACGCGTGTAGGCGAATAAACTGAGCGGGACACTAATCGGTCGAAGTATTGCGACACTGGACGCACAGCTGGATGTGAGTGGCGGGAAAAGTAACAGGAAGCAATATATTTGACCATTAAGCATACCTGACCTTTGTAATTAACACGCAGCCTGGGCTAACCAGGATTCAGCTGCAACGTCTTACGAAGTTGGTTCCTGTAACAAAATCGTTTCTGTTTTTTTTTTCAGGATGTCGCCAAATGACTGAATTTTTCTTAAGACGAGAAAGAGTGCCTCTCCATCAACACCGGCATCAGGTAGTGCATCAACACCTCAATCATGTCCAGTTAGTCAAGGGAAAGCTTTAGCCTTGTCTTTGATCGACGAGCACCATATTAAGACGGTAAGTAAATTGTTACTGATCTAAAGATGGAAACTGATAACCCCCACCCGCGCCCCCGCCCACACACACATACACACACACACATTTTGTGAACCTGCACCCTGGTGATATCAACTTGAAAGACATGTTTCACCATTTTTGGCTGATTAGATCAGATCCTGCATGCATCGTAAGTGGTCCTTACTGTTCCGGTTTTCCTTTTAGATCACTTCTAATGTTAAGAGTCAAGCGGAAAAAGAGTTTGGGGCAAGACTTGGAAAGTCTACAGCGAAAGCATGTAGCTCTACCGTATCAAAACAACCCGCACCTCGTATTACTAAAACTACACACGACATTCCCATCGAGAAAATTGTCAGGGAAAACATTCGCAGGTGTGAGCGAGAGGAGATGGCTATGGTAAAAGCCGCACAAAATGTAGTTTTTTCATGTATGGCTTCATCGGCCACATCTGGAGAAAGCATTGCTACGCAAATTCTAGCTTCGATGAGAAGTGATGTTGAAAACGTCGAAGAGAAAGCTTTGCGCCCTTACAAGATCGTTCTGGAAATAGCAGACGTTACGAGGAGAGAAATGGCTACAATGAATATCCAAAGTTTATTGCAAGATATGGTTGAACAGTGTGCTCTCCTAGATCTGTATCGTTCTAAAGTACAAGAATTGAAATTCGAGCTAAAAGACAAAGATAAGGTTATAGAGGAAATCAAACGAACTATGGAACAAAATAATGTAAATCGTGCCGTTCCTGACACAGCTCTGAAAATTGCAGCCATCGTAGAAAGTGAAGAGGAAGACTCTGTGGTACTGGCTTCTTTACTCAAAGATTTAATTCGAAATCGAGGAACACCAGTTAAGAGATGGTCGGATGCAACAAAATCTCTGTTCGCTATCATTCTTGATTATGGAGGTCCGGCTCTTGCCAGAATTGTTCAAGAAAAAATCGGCGGCCCAAGCCTTCAAACCATGTACCGCACTGCCAGATCTAATTACGCTATTCCGAGTAAATTAGAGGAGCAAGCCCTGAGACACGCGAGGTCATTCTACGATACCATTGGTTATAATGGAGTTTTTGCACTAGCTGTGGACGCAACTGCAGTCGTTCCCACCATGAGAGTTAAGGGAAATAAAATAATTGGATTGGCAACAGAACGCGATGTTATAGTTAGCTCTGCTCAAGATATACTAAATGTTGTGAAAAATAGGGAATACGAGTTGGCCAAACAAGCAAACGCATTTATCTTGGCACCACTGCAGGATCACGTTCCTTCTTTCGTACTGGCTGTTGGTCCAGTTATTAAAGGTCAAGATCATACACTTATCAGACATTGGTGTAACCAAGCTACTCTGTGGGGTGCCCGCAATAAAATAACAATTGTTGGACTTGGGGCGGACGGCGACTCTAAATTCAGGAAATACTATGTTGAACGCTTCAAAAAAACCCTAGAAGAAAGAAATGATATCATCGGTTTGAATTATGACTCATTTGATTTCAACATTGTAGTGGAAAATTTTCACGGCTTGGGCGTCGATAATCCTGTCCCGACTCTTATGTTTCCAGACTGGAGACATCTTGTTAAGAAATGGGGAAATCAGTTACTTAACGTAAAGCGCATTCTCATTATTGGCAGCGGCGTCGCTCAAATAGAACATTTGATGAAGGTCTTTGAGAATGACAGAATTCGGTCAGGTTTATGGAAAAGCGACGTTTTTGTCAAAGATAAACAGAATGTTGACGCTGCCATGAGAATAATGAAAACAGAAGTAAGAGTTTGCATGAAGGACTGGAGTGACTCAGAAACTATTGGAACTAGAACCTATTTAAAAATGGGGCACTACATGTTACAGTCATTCACTGAAAAAGACTTGACTGTGCGCGAGCGCGCGAAGCTTGCATGGGCACCCGTAACTTTCTTGCGATATTGGAGAGTGTGGCTGCAAATTTTGAACTACGATGTCGAAAAGCATTTCATCTCTCAGCAAACCTTTGAAGACACAATCCTCGCCGCACATGGCCTTATACTCGCAATGAAAATGTTTTCCGTGTACTACCCCAACCACCAATTTCACCCTTGGGCATTCGGATCACAACGTTGCGAGGATTTCTTTGCAAAATTGCGCTGCTTTTGCAGAGGAAAGCCAAACCTTACACTGCTGGACATGATCGACCTTTCCAGTAGAGTTCAAAAGTTAGAAGAACTTAAATCGCGCGGCGTCAATCCAGACATTCAACCACCGAATTGGCCTCAGGACATTGACGTGGAACTCAAAGAAGGAATGATGATGGCAGAGAGAGAGGTTCTAAAAACACTGCAACTGATGGGAATGCTACCAGCTTTGGTAAAGGGTAACATCCTTAAAGAAGATGGTGACGACATAATTTGCCTTAATACACCAGGCTTAGGAACCTTTGCAGTATGGGAATCTCCTGATGAGAACGAGGTAATTGCCAGCGACGAGCTCCTTGACTTGGAGAGCGAAGTACTTCTAACAGCAATCGAAGAACATTGTACTTCTTCCTCCAATGCCTTAATTGATTTGGCTGCAGCAACTTGTTTACATCAGTCTGAACAGGTAGAGTCGGAAGAGGAAGACGAAGATAGCCCTACTCACTGCGCGTTGTACAAGGAAAATAAATGCAAGTATAATAATTCAACATTCAAACCTCCAAAAAAAACATTGTGGGTAGGTTGCAATTATCCTTGTTGTAATGCATGGTATCACGAACAGTGCCTTTCCCTTCAGTTCGCAGGAGATAAGGAAAGAGAAGATTACACCCTCATCTGTCCCAAGCACAAGGACATTAAAGAGCACTTTCGTAACAAAGTAACAGCTTTGTCAACGGGCACAAATTCGTTGTCAGACGAAAACATAAGCCTACAGCCTATGCCGAAACGATTGCGGTTAAACAAGAAAAGTAATGTGCCACGGACAATTGATTATTCTATCCGTCCAAATTACGTGGAGTATGAGGGTCAATTCTATCACATTGCCGAATTTCTGTCCTTACAGGAGGGCAAAGTATACCGTCCAGCCACTTCACGATTAGCACGATGGATGGAATCAGCCAGAAATGATTTTTACGAGCAAGTGGAAAAGCTTTTTGCGCCTCAACGGGTTGAAACTGGGACTTACCTCAGTGATATTGTTGCATTGTGGTTACCGTCAGAGGGACTGCATGTTGGACTTGTCATCAGAATTGTTCGGTCACCTTCCTTGAAGTCGAACTTTCCTGTTTTTGAGTGGCGTTCCGATTCACAGAAATCTGAAAAGGTTACTATTTGTTTTCGAGTACTTAACTTTCTGAAGGAAGATTCTGCTGCTTGGAAGTTAGAAACCACTAACAACTTTCGCTGGTGTCATGTTCGTTCAATTTTAAAAGTGGTCGGAAAAGTAAGTATAACACAACCAGTATGGCCAGTCCATGTGGACTTGAGAGATGTTTTAAAGGATTTGCCACGTTTGCAGCTGATGGACAAAGAAAGAGAGAGGAAAGAAGAGATCGAAAAAAGAGAAGAAAGGAAAAGGATGAAGGAAGGCAACCCAGAATGTATGACTTTTCAATTGTTGAGAGAGGTGCTAGAAGAAATGGGCGAACCTTACAGCAAAAGCTGGAAAAAAACACAACTGATACAAAGGGTTAGAGCTGCAAGGGAAAAACGCAATTCTACAGCGTGTCTTATTTCCTCGGCAACCACCATGACAAGTACTGCAAGTCAACCACACACAGGACCCAGTGGAAACGTTTTTAGGAATTCTGCAGGTCACCTGAGCACAGGTCCCAGAAGCGAGTTTACTGCGCAACTGACAATCTCCCATTCTTCAAAGGAGCAGGTTTCAGCGACTAATGGACATTCATCGTTTCCCCGAAAGCGTTCAGTTGCAGGATCGGTAACTGTTCTTTACTATTATGACGAGGAGAAGGAGAGAATCATTCATTTGCTCTTGCACATACTTTTTATATTTGACCTGATCAACATTTATATGGACAACATAACTTATTATTATGTGATTGCTGCACTTATGTCAATTAATGCTTTTCTTTTAATTAATTGCGTAGGTATTTTGTATTCATCCCTACTCGGATTAATAGTGTTACTAGTGACCTGTTACATGTTTGCTCGAGCAAACGTTATCTCAGTTTGTAATGACGTTGATTCTCAACATGCGGTTAATGTCCCCCTACCCATGATAGTGTGAAGCTTAATGTGTGAACTTCGGTAGACTAGAACCCACTTAACCTGTTCCTCTCTGTCGAATGGTTCGCTTCGTTTGCAATATGTGGTTTTCGTTGCCTTGTAATATAGCAGAGAATAGAAGTGTATTTTAACATATGTTTGATGAAGATTGAGGGAAAAATGTTGTGTATGGCAAATAGAGACGCGAACAGGATGACAAACATAAAAAAGGATATCTTGGAAAAGAAAGAAATGCCGAGAAAAGTTAGGGATTCTTCTTAAATTTCAGGTTCTTTCTACTCTATAGACGTTTTAAGTTAAGTTTTAAAATTATAGTTGTTGTTACAAATAAAATGTCACGTATAACAGAAAATGTGTGCATTAAGTTGAACATATTTTACGAATACTTATAGCTAAACTGTTGGTTCCAAACGTTACATCAAGCATAAAATATTTCACACCTCGCCTAATTTTCCAGCTGTTTCGTTGAAGGATACAACCTGAGCATAACAGTGGGGTTCGTTTTTCTTACACACAAATCCGTAGTACGTTTCTATGAATTTTAAACTCGCGCGAAACGTGTGGGCGAATAAACACGTTTACGCCTTGCTACTCGCTAGTTTTTATACTAAAATAAAAAGCAATGATATCAAAATGTGTAACTTTATTAGTACCCCATGAAATTGACAATTGAAATGTTTGACTGAATAGGTAATCGATTGATATTGCATATTTGATAACAATCTATTATGTTAATAGATCGATTCCCATCGATTGATTTTGATAATCGATGATAATGAATAATCACAAAAATTTTCGTCATCGATTGTCTATCGATTATCAATATCAATCGATTAATTGATATCGATTGTCATCGATTCTTATCGATTGCCATCGATTATCGATTGATATTGATAATCGATGATAATCGATAATCACAAAAATTTTCGTGATCGATTGTCCATCGATTATCAATATCAATCGATTAATTGATATCGATTCTCATCGATTCTCATCGATTGCCATCGATTATCGATTTCATCGATTGTTCAGGTCCTGTTTATAGACACAACTTCAACCCTCATGGCCGCTCATATCCTTCGAAAGTTTGACTGCTATCCCATCAATCATTGCGACACCTTTCTCGTACGTCATTGGCTCGCGTCATTTTGGCGTCAATTTTAATTTGTTTTGACAAAAATTTTTTTTTTTTTGTTACGACAGAATTTTGTTCCGCATTTTTCACTCTTTTCTTACGTTTACCCTAGAGGAGCCATTTCTTCCCAGACGTAAGTATTTCTCTACGGAAATTCTTCTCATCCCTTATAATTGTTTTTAATTTTGGGCCTCCTTATTTCCAGGACTGACCTTTTTTCACTACCGGCATTTTCGAAGAAACCCCTTTGTTTTCGTGGTAAGATATTGTCACTTAAGCTTAATTAAACTACTCAACTTTAAACTACTCAACTGACGCTTTCCGCTTTACCGTTATAATTCATTTCTTTTTTATTTATCGTTTTCCAACTCCATTTACATACAAAGAGAGTGTATTGTTCTACTCAAAGTTTATTTCTTTTTTTTTTTTTTTGTTTTTTGTTTTTTCCCCTTCTTCCCCTTCTTCTTCTTCTTTTTCTTTTCTCTCTCTCTCTTCTCGGCTACCTCCCGGCCATCATCTCTCCTCTCTTCCTTTTTTCTTCTCAAGGACTCGACACAGAGGATGTCGGGCAAAGGCTCGGCACCGGGCCAGAAACATCCTCGCTCAGTTGTGCTTTGCCCCTGAAGATTCACAACATTAGAGGAGCCTTGGTGTCGATGCATCCTTTTTCTTGCCATACCTGGGTATTCCCATTCTTCTTCACACTCTATTTGTTCCTCTCCTACTTCCTTTTTTCCTTTAATGAAAATAAGACAATTTTTGTCATAACTTATGACGCTAATTAATAGTCATCAGGAGCCCATCAAATGGAGCCTCTATCTCCCATACAATCCCTTGGAGTCAACCCTTTCCCGAGTAGATTTATAATTAGGACGGTTCCCAGGGGAGACTTCGCGCGCCGACGGTGGGAAGAGCCAATCAAAACGACGTAATGACACTGCTATTGTACTTCATCAAACAGCAGGAAATTCGTTGTTGACAGGCCAAACACAATCATAAGCTAGTGAAACGTGACTTTAGCGTTTTCATCCTTCGGAGATTTTCTTTCTTTTCTTTCTAGCGGGTAGATTATACTGTGGAGAGTTTTAAACTCTGACTATGTTAATCTTAATTTTGGTTGCTTGTCTCACATTAGAGGCCATGAAGCTGGCATTACATGCATAATGATTAACTACTACCTGCAGTCTGTAGTTCTGACAGGATTCGTTTTCTTTAGCCAATTTTTTGAGCGTAAAGGTTCTTATTTCGGGCTAAATGACTCAATATTAATCAAATTTCTAGTTTTTCAAGTTTTTTTTTCCGAAATGCGTTTATCTGAATAAATACTTGTAGTCCTTGTGGTTGTTTTGCCGTCAGCTAGTGTGATGATTCCCTGCTATGTTTTGTAACGCCGGGCCCAGCTATTGTTTTCTCGCAAAAAAGTGATCTACAGATGCGAATTCGAAGGAAAGAATTGGCCTAAACTTCTACATTAATTGCGAGAATTGTCCTGTTAGTCAGTCATAATTCCAGTTTGGCGCAGATACAATCCATTTTGTTTTTCTTGAGACAAGTGGGTCTTTGGACTGGAGCGCGATGTCACAAATTCCTCCGTTAGCAAATTACTTTTGAGTTAGCTTTACGGTCGAGCAACTGTTCTCTTCTGTTCTACTTTTCAAGTGCCAGTTTTATCAGGCAACTCTCACGGTGATACAAGTCAGTTGTAAGGGAAGACTGCAATTTCTCAAATTTCTGAACTGAAGCATTCCTCCTTAGTTGTCACTTAGGTCATCGCTTTTGCACGCGGTGCTTAACCGGCGAAATCCACTCCGCGGTGATGACAAAAATCCAATGATCCTGGCACTTTTTCGGCGCTGATCATCGAAAAGTTCCAAATCATCCACAGAATGCTTAATCGTCGACTCTTTTCAAGGTGTATGTTTAAATGTGGGATGTATGATGGCAAAAAAACACTCGCAAACAGTAACCTTTCCGTGATCCTCAGTTCGCTGCCTTTGTCCCATCGCTTCATGCTCAGTCAGCGGGTAATTCATTAACTTTTATTTCATGATACCCAGATCCCAGCGGCTGTAAAATTGTAAAAATGGACGTATAGTAAAAAAGAAAACGGTCGAAGGACGGGCTTCTGAGTTCGACTTCATCCAACTTCATTTTTTTCACGGTGACATACGAGACTCACGGAAATATAACACTTTTCGCGGGAAACAAGCCGTTCTATTTATAACTCTACTCAGGAAAGGGTTGACTCAAGAAATCAATGGAGATGGAGGCTCCATTTGATGGGCTCCTGTAGTTATTAATTACGAATTACCATCCTAATGCTCTTATCCCCACCCCCTACTCTATTGTTATCTTAACAGACTACTTTCAACTATGGATAACAACCACTCTACACTCCACTTTTACCATAACCATCTCCGCAACCTCTCCCCTGCATCAATTATCCAACAACGTCTTCAACTTTTTAATTCATTCAACGGCGACGCTTTTTATCCACTTTCTGTTTGGCCACAAGAGTTTAAGTTAATTATTTGGAAAAAACCAATCAGCGACGAGAACACATTCAAACTGTTTTTCTTTTTAATTGGCAATGGCTGTTCACCCCACCTCACTTCACACTGGATCATGACGTCACAATACTGGACCACTGACACAAAGGTAGAAAAACGCGCCCGCCAGCTAGACTTTCTTCTCAACAACATGGACAACAAATCTCATGTCTGGTTTTACTTTGATCTGCACTGCGAAGAATGGTTATACCTCAACAGACAAAAAAGATCTACTAACAATTAACGACCAATCATTTTAAATTCTCTTTCGAAAAAATATTTTTAAAAATTACAAGTTGTATTCCTTATAATTATTAATGTCAACGAACACAAAAGAACGACTAACAACTTACCATTAAATTTATCTTTCTATTACATTTTTGTAATATTTCAAATTAAACTACTTATAATAGTTTTATTATGAAAGTTCTTATCCTGTACATTTCTTTCACCTCACTCCCCCCCCCCCTTTTTTTTTATGGGAGCTTACATGTGACATTTTCCTTTACTTAATTCTAATCTTGTATTTTGTCCAATATCTCAAACTTTATTTTAAAGTATTATCCAACATTTTCAACTTTTATTGAAAAGAAAAATTTTCAGAGTCAATAATTCCTTGAGTTTTTTAAGAACGAATATATTTCAATCTCATCTTAACTATTTCAGTGATTCGATAAGTTTTTAAGAACGACTATACATCAATAATTATGTGAAGCTCATATAGTGTTTTTACTATATCAATTAACAACCATCTGGCTTATTATAATTTGTTTTCACCTAAAAAGCAACTTTACGTTTTCATTTTTTAACAAACATGTTTTTTACTTAACATTATTTTTAAAGAGAAAATTGCACATTAAAGTTATTGAAGTAATTCCTTTAATTGTTTTTTTTGTTTTTGTTTTGTTTTGTTTTGTTTTGTTTTTTTTTTCCTTTGTTTACCCCGGAGTCTCTCCTTATTATTCATTTATTTTATTTTATTTCACTCTTTCTATTATTTATTTTAGTTCATTTTATTATTACACATTTTAATTATTGATTTTTTTTTCTTTTTTCCTCCTCTCTCCTCTTTATTTTCAACTTTCCAAGAGGTTGACATGACTGCTTTGCAGTTTGCCGGACCCTCTTTTCCCCTTTCATCTTCCTATCATCCTTCATATT